TTTAATCATTTATTTAAATAAATTAAATTACTGCGCGGTTGATATACTTACTTATATATATAACAAAAATTAGGTTGACAAAGACAAATTATAACAGAATGGGGTTAACATTGTCATTAGTGATTGCAATGGAGGTCGAATGTCCTTCTTTTTCTATCAAACAACCAGTATACAACAAAAAGCGATGACTAGGTGATGAATCACATAATCACATGCTAATTTATAAGATTGTATGAACAACAGTAGTGTCATATGTGCATACTGCACTCTTCTATGCGGAATAATGAACTGGCAAGTTAATTAAAAATAAAAAATGTTTAATTTTCGCATCAAATATTACACTTTAAACACGATTATCATATATTAATTTAGCAAATTCGACAAATTCGAGATTTACTTGCCCAGTAAAGTGAAAAAAAGTAAATATATTAATCTTAATTTTATATGAAATAAATAAAATTGTTCGAGAATTTTATAAATTAGCATGTCTGTATGCTGCAAGCTACCTATCTGTGATTATTGATGTTATTTATGATAAAAACGCTCTGCAGGTGCGCAATAGTGTCGCTAGTTTCTAATATAGGTCTTTACAGATGTCAAAACTTAAATCAATAATAAATCCTATGCTTTACTATATAGTGCATTTCAAGATAAAATCACTCAAGAAGAAATTATTTTCTAGATTTACAAATTGCCGCAATTGTAAGAATGAATTAATTTACCTGGGAAAGGAATTTGCGTACCTACAGCGGCGCGTAACCGTTGGTCATGCCGGCGTTTGTTATATCATAAATATTTACCGGCGGCGCGCTAAATAGATGTAATTATTGAAAGCGAATGCGCCAGTGCTGATAATTGCATGTTGATCAATGAGCAAAAATGTGTGCATAAACAATCATCAAGCAAAGAGTATCGCGATAAAATTGCTACCCATTGGTATGAATTAAGATCTACACGTGTAATTTCGAAATGACGCTTTCGATTTCTTACTGACTTCTTCTGCGACGTGCGTGTTAATATTCCATACGTGTGCGCATTCTTAAATGACAATCGCATTCTTTAAATATGATTGTTTGATTGTCTCAATTCACAATGCGTCTTTTTGTTTGTCTCGATGCGTAAGTCGTGTTGGTAAACTTAATAAAACGTAGTTTGTGATTCCTGACACGTGTCGCTTATTTGCTGCATTGCTGCACCGCTGCACGTTGCAACACATTTCAAGTTCATTCCGATTCATCGAGCGCAACTTTACGGTGAAAAAATGCATGAAAATGTTATTGCGGCAATTATTGCAAATGCTTAGCGCGTGAATCATCAATGGGTAAGTACTAAAGACGTTAAAAGCGACAATTGTTTGTCGAAACTATTAAAATTGTTCTATATAATATTATAGGTAAATAGTATAACATGGAAAAACATGTTATAAAAAATTCATTTTTAGCAAAACAGTGCAAATTAGTGCTATTATTCGTAGTGGTTTACTTTAGTTGTGTATGACATCAATTGTGTTTTGTTTGTGCAAAACATAGTGCGTTATCCATGACATCATTTCCTAATTGGAAAAACTAGGTCTCATTGAAAATTCACAACAGACTCAATTCACGTACATACAATTCAAATACTGTAAATATAGAATTCCCTATTATGGAATAAAATATACTTTTGTACATATGATAAAGTATATGTGAATACCTCACATTAACGGATATGAGCAAATTATGGAAACAGTTATCATGAAATTCATTTGAAAGGCTCAACAAATGCGGTTCAAACTCCAACGTAAAAAACCTTAATTAAATGATTAATATATGAAAGGAAATGGATTATAAAAACCCACGACAGTTGTAAAATCGATATAATAAAACAATTAGACGGCAGTTTTTGATAAAAACCTAAAAAATGTATTGTACTGATCATGATATTTCAGTGCAAAAATTTATTACCTATGAATGCTTGTTTCTGCTAACACGGATTGGCAATCATAAGCGATTAATGATCAATCATCAATTAGAAAATGGCAAAAAGTATTACGACTCGCCTGAGCGACTGGTCAGGCAGGCAACAGGCTGCATGCACAGTATTGCAAGTTATTAATTATGAAATTACATGGAACCGCTATGCGCGTCGACGTCGAATGTCTGAACGCCTCGGCGAAGAGACTGGAGACATGTAAGAGACAAGCGACAAGCGAGACCGACCGCGAGCTGATCAACAGATAGACGAGAGCTCGCGTTAGCGCCAGCAGTCGCGGCGGCTGAGATAATTGGAAGCATATGCTTGGATAACTCAAAGAAGCCGAGATTTAAGATAGTTGCATGCGAAACAACTGATTCTTCTTCAACTTCACAGATGCAAAAACCTTCACTTTTTTACAGCTCTGTATTACTAAACCCGAAAATTTAAAACTACGTGTGGCGTCGTCAATGAACGGTGAAAGAAATATGAAACGACTACGTGCCGCCAACAGTAGATTACATAACGCCTGAATGTTCGCCATTAAAAGTGCACATACAGCAGAATGCAAGCGCCATTTACAGCGAGTATAGCATGAAGCATAATCGTCCATATGTGTGACTTTATATGGATATTTTGGTATTTCCAAGTTGTAACATGCAAGTCTGCGTTACAATCAGCATGCACACGATGCACTGTGCATTAATCTGACCTATGAGTCATTCACATGTGAAATTTCTCCATTATTAAACGATCAGACATTTTCAATAAGTTGCCAATCACTCGAGTTCCCAAGCTTGAACAAAAAATTCTAAAATAGCAACTAGTGACATTTAAAATCAAAAGATATTATTAAACAATTTAAAATAAATTAATAATTGGTTAGTTATTACTGCATGAACATGTTGCAATCGATTGCGTATTATGATGCTATTTTTTGTAGACAGCAAGTTCCTCGGAACGGATACGCAAGGACGATTTCAAGTTGCAAACGCAGATGCAATTTGAAGTATAATGGTGACTTGTGTAATTAAAAATATGTCACGTCTATATCCGGTTGTATTCCAGAGTTTGTCATAAAATCAACATTGACGATAAGATGTGCGGCGCCTACTTATTGCAATATTTGAGAAATAATGAATGAAGGTAAAGAAATCCCGACCTCTTGCTCAATGAATGAGTCATTTGAACGGATATCTAATCAGTGATATCTATTTACGATCGAATAGACATACATAGTAAAATTGTAGTTTCTACGAAAAGAAATGACTGGAAAAATTACATTCCGAATTCAATTGAGAAATTCCGTGTTACAATAACAAATATGAAAGTAATCATGGAAAAATATGCTTTCGTCATGTTTTATCAACTATTGATTACCTATAGAATCATTGTTTTCGAATAACTTTATTAATTTTAATCATCAGCTGTTCCGTTGAACTTTGTACCCTCACTGCTTCGATATATTTATGTCATATTAACTGAAATTATTATTTTATTAATATTAATTCGGTGTTGATGTTAAAATAAGATGAATATTGAAAATGCAAAAATTTAAAATATACTGCAGTCCATTATCCCAGTATTAGACCATATCTAAAATTTGCGAGAAGAGGACAATTTATTAAATAAACAATTTTTAAAATATAATTGGAACGTGTTTTTCTGAAAGCAACATAATAATAATAATAATAGTCATAATAATAATCATGTGGATCTCAAAAAGATAATTAGCTACAAGGAATTGTTCTATTTGAAGTAAAAAATATGGAAATTTCAAAATAAAAACGCAGAAAAATCTAATTTAAGAAAATACTAAAAAAAATTAAAAATCATCGAAACAGAACAATGACAAAAAGCAATTGCAAAAAAAATGAAAATACTACAGTCAAATAATCTTCATATTTTGCATCAAGCACAAAGATATACTCGTATGTCACTAGTCCTAATACAGAACTCATTTATTCGCTTCCCATCAAATATTAATGTAACGATAAAAATTGAACAAAAATGAATGTAATAAACAACGGCTGTATATTTATTGTCTAATTACGCACGCGATGCATTTGACGTCGGCTTCTAACGATCGCAAATGTCAACACGCGAAAATAAAAAGCCAATCGGCAATCTGCACAAACATTGTACTTGCGCATGAAGCACCCACAACTTGTTTGCATGCCTGATGCCCGCCCATGAATATCGCATATTCGTGCGTGCATGCGTTTAATAATCACTATATCACATAGATAAATATAATACATAATCGGATAGGCATAATGAGATATAGGTAATATGCAATGACGCTAATTATTAATGGCGAGAGCTAGCCGCCTGATGACAATAAGAGTATGCAAACAATGTGCTTCCGTGCTACGTAGAATGTCAATTATTTAATCCTTCAAACGCAAAACGCATCTAATCAATACCACAATAATTTATATTAAAATTATTATTGTCACGCAGTCAGTACAATTATTTCCTTGTAGGTTCATTTGATATTTTTACATGTGCAGTTTTGTGTAACAATTTTATGGTAATGTGAGTAGTGTCGGTGGTGTTATGTAAAAATCGCTTTCACTTTTTCACTTACCTACGTCCTTGCTTTACCAAACAACCAAACAAAGCAGGCGTTTTTTATACGCGTAGGTAGGTATAGTGAAACTGCAGCATTTATTTTGAATGTCCTAAAAACCTGAAACGACCTTGTAGCGCTACTTAATTAACGAATTAATTCGTGATGACTCATAAATCTAATTTTAAAAAAATCATCACGGTTTTGGTGTTCTAGAAGCTTTTTTATGTTGTTTATAGTTGAAAGTTCACGTGACCACTAAATGCACTATAGGCATGACGTAATGTTAAACAAAATTAGTGTACATTTTGCGCGTAAGTGTGTGTTGGCAATTGACGTTTTTTGTTGTATACATACACGCTTGTTATTGTCAAATTGTTGTGTGTGAGTGGCGCTCGTGTGCTTGGTGGGCGTTCGTGCTTAATGCGTTGATATTCCTGACCAGATCGTTTTTGTTATTGCCATGTACATTGCGTTTTAAATTTTGCGCAAATACATTCGCGTAGTATTGCGCGATATTTTACAACATCAGCAGCATCAATAGAAACATAAAATACGCTGAAATCTGATATAAATCTAACGCAACAAAGTATAACAATATTTCAACAATATATCCATTGCACAAACACCACAATATCAAAATTCAGTAGAATATAACATTATACCAAACTATAATATGATATGCACGTGGATGTCGACTTGGGAGGTAATTATACTTACTGGGATATGCTCTAAAAGAGGTTTTCCAAGAAAAGAAATAAGAAAATCTCAAGTAAAGCTCTCAGCCGGATGTGACTGTAGTAACCAGTGACCGGTGACAGAGCACTGATGACCGTGGATAAAATCCAAGTCAAGGATCACAGGCACGAAATAAATTTCGTGCTCCTTTCCAGGCCACGCCGTGCAGAAAATGGCGCTCGTGCTTTTTCAGCATAATACGCGGGGCTTAGTCATAATTAGATGGAATCAGAAGGCGACCCAGTCGTCAGAATACTCACTCAAAGAACATTTTTGTTATCCTATGTCAGCAAGAGACTCGAAATGGTCTTGAAATCAATATGCAAAGGCTAAGTTTGTTCAACTGATTGAAGGTAACACTCCCTAGCAATGAACATAATAATTAATTCTTACGAAAGTAACGAGAAAATCAACATTTAAATAAATGCCAAGAAAAAATAATATCGGCATCCGGTAAACATGTTTTTTTTGTTTCATGTTATGAATAAATCTTGTGTCGAGTCATAACAAAATTAAGCGAGATGCGCATGAGCAATTTTTGGAACCGTCAAAAATTCACGTGGCACTTTTATTTTAAGAATAAACCAAGCATGAAGTCAGTAAAAATAAATCTATTAATTTAAATAATAAGACTAAAAATATCGGATGTGAAGGTGCAATCTCATGAGAAAACTCTGAGCAGGTAATAAATTTATAATGAAGTGTTATCATACTCGGTGGCGCATGACTGCGTATAAATTAATTGCGTGCGGACTGCGGACAACAATACGGCAATTAGCAAATTGAAAAATCATGTCTATTATACTAGTGCACTGGGGAAAAATCATCGACATGTGAAAATCTAACTGTGCATTTGAAAGAACGACGCACATCATGCGAATTTTCCCACCGAATGGAAATCTGGTGAAGGCGCGTTCCCATCACCAGACCGTTAATTGCTTAATTGAAAAACGCGATTAATCTTACAAGGCAATGCAAACATGTATTATATTAATGACGCAATTCCAAATCAACACACGCGTAAAAAAACTGTAAATAACAGATTTCGATCGGAATTGGCCTTGATGTTATTTTTCGAGACACAGAAAAAGAATAAAAGAATAATGATTTGAACTTTAGCTTGATATTTACTAGCTCAATTGAAGTTGTTGGGTTGGTAGATGGGGGCATTCGAGTTCGTTACGAATAAAGCTAAACCGGGCGGCTGGCCCCACTTTTTGGACACAGACACAGAAGTTTAAAAGAGTAAATTGCGCCGCAAGCAGTGAAGAGCAGCGTAAGGCAGCAACAAAGCCGAATGGCGATGTTGGCGGCCTTGGTTTCGCCAAAAAATTAAAGTGACGCGCAGTTTTTACACAAAGCACAATTACCAAAGACGCAATTTACGAATGTATAAGAGCGCACATTACGCAGCATGTGCTCCACGGGTGTGAAGGATGCGCACCAAAGAACTGCGTGGATAATTTCGGCACTTTCAGCGGCATGTTAGCAATTACAGGCGACTAATGATTCTATTTTTGAAGTACATACTTATTTTTCGGTGTTTAAAAATATCCTACTATTTGGATAAAGAAAACAGCGCTTTTTCTATGAATATAATCATTTTTAAGCAACTATAAACGAAAAAAGATGCAAAACTCATTATAATCAATGAGGTGTTTTTGCAAGTTTTGAAGGTGACTTTCTGTTGTGTCACATGTTTCGTTCGCGAGTCAATTATTCATAACGGCATTGTTATAAAAATAGCGATTTGTATAAATGGGCGTAGTTAAAGGTGTGGGCAGTGAATCGTTCGAGTGATAAATTTACACATCCTTTACAAACAATGATCCTTAAAATATTAACAACTAAAAACTACTCCGGTAAAAAATTGAACCACACAGTGTATATTCTTGGAACTAAGAATTAAATTTAATGGGATGTGATTCATGCACTTCAAGTTAAAGTTTGTCAAAACCACTATAAAAAAATTCAAAACACGACATTGCTAAAACCTCAGACAAAAAAATATAAGAAAACATTCGCAAGCTAAACGCGAATGCGGATATTAAGCGTTTGTATGTGGTGGCTGCGGTGCTACTAAATTTGCCACGAAAATAACAGTGTCAATGACAGATCGACTTGTTGCAACTTGCATACCCAAACTATTTCAACACTTACCGACAGACGACTCTCCCTGATATCTGCAAAAAGATAAATATTGATATTAGCATGATTTACTAAATGCACACACTAACAGTTTTTGAGATATTTCAGATAAATAAACAGATTAACATTAATATGGAGAAAGCGATTACAAAGTCCAATAAATCTGTAGCTGTTAATCGTTAATTAATGTCGTTAATCTTATGGGACAACAAAAATGTACTTTTCAAATAATTAACTTTATCTGCCAGACTAATTCATTATTTTGTATAAAGTACAAGTACGTATGTAATTATATTTTATATTTTACGTTTAACACTCAGCCTAGTTTAGTTGCAACTCGAGCTGAGTGGATAACAAACAGCAGTATTGTTTATAAACGATTTATCGGATAAACAAATGTCGGAGCTCTCTGAGCAAATAAAGTGGCTCTAGGCAGTTGAACCAAAAGTTCGTTGTGCTTGATACGCGGGAGTGACCGACATGCATAGTTATTACAAATGTTTGTTCATCATGGTATTTCATTGTGAACAAATAAATAATATTAACTCCCATGTGAGTAATTAACTAAATGTATTAATAACATATTATTCTAGGTTTAAATATAATATACTAAATTGATACAGGGCGCCTCCACCAAAAAATCAAATCATCTATTATGTCTTTATTGTGAAAGAGCGAAAATGAACTTTTCTTGTTAGTGACTCGCCGGCGTGAAATGAAAAATTAAACAATCAAAACAATCAAAACGCGTCGAGTGGTTAAAGACTCCGAGTTGACTTGCGAGTCGAGTGGAAAGACTTTTTATTTGCTCGCCGGCGCGTCAGAAGATCCTATGCAGCCTCTGAAGGTCTGAAGAGTTTGAAAGAAGTCCAAAAGGAAAGGATTGCCCACCGGGAGAAAATGAGAAGCGATGCTGATTCTCATCACCAACGCGCCAGCCGTAAAAATATGATGGGTGTAGGTACACCCAAGTGTATGCTGAAGAAAAATAAAAGAGTCACGTAGGTCGGCGCCGTCGTGCCGTTTCTTCGCGTTCGCTATGATTTCAAGCGATTCCAACTCCAGCGCTCCAAACGCTTCAAAGAAATGCCGCATTTAACAACTGCACCTACCAACATCCACTACATGTCCCAAAATTATCAATAAATTTATAGAAGTAGCAAGCTGAGAAATTTTGTTTATGCACATCAGGACAATCCTCAAGTAGGAGTGTTAATTATCTTAAGCAATGTTTAAAATTTAGAATTTTTGAGGTGTTTTAAATTATATAGAGTTTCTGGAGGAGTCGGTGTATGAATGGCGAGCTCCTGGTATGAATGGTCATGTGGTCTCTGCAGCTCTCAGCCGTCTTGGCAATCGTGGTCACTACCACGCTGTGGAATCGACTGGAATCGCTTTGAATAAAGAGCCGGAGGAACCGCATTCCTATGCGTTTTGGTCGCTTTTTTCGGCGCACGCACCTTTACTACATTTTTTTTCGTTTGCTCCTCGTAGACCATAGAACAGACGATTACTCAATTTTTACTCCTCAATGCCTTCGGGTGTTGGTGTTTCTCGGCAATTCTCAGCCGTTGCTCATCTCACAGCCGGCCTGCAGCCTTGCAGCATTCTCAGCCGAGACAGGAAAAGGCTGCGACTTCACAACGACCTTACGATTTGATAGTGTGTACGAGCATATTGGAGAATGTATGGAGGTCTTAAGGTGTGCGGCCTCAAAGGAATTCGGAATGAACCAGTCGACCTTTGGGAAGAAAATTATTAACTGTTTATAATCACCGAATAATTGGAGTAGTAAATGCAGGATGTTGCTGAATTTCTACACCAGAAAAAAAGAAATGAAAAAGTAATAAAGATGAAGTTCGTAGAAACTGAAGGATTAAGTGAATAGAGTTTCTTTGAACTGCAAACGAGACAAAAAAAGAAGATATTTGGGTTTTAAGACCAAAATCTCAGAGACCATAAAAATTATCGACCTGTCAATAACATTTACAATTTACACACACCCTGGGTGTCCAGCCACTAATCAGCTAGCCCTTTATTCTTCTTATGTCTCAAATCGGCTAGTAAAATCTTTAGCTATGCTGGTACTCGTTCTAGAATAAGTTTACTCAGTTGGTGTGGGTACTTTGAGTGCATTCCAAAGTACCAGCACCGTCTTAACTCTAAATTACTTAATTCTAGAACTTTTTAATAACTTCTAACACAATTTCACCCATGATCAACTCGAGCAGCTCTAGAATTGTACTAAGTATTTACATTATCAGTGCACCGTGCACCCGGCAATGTCTCCCCTCCACCGAAGCGAACGGTCTCTGAATACGAAAAGCCCCGTTTCGATTCGAGCGCACTGTGAGTCTCGACTCAGCCAGTCAGTCAGTTGTCAGAGAGTTGGTATTGATGTAGTGCTTACTCGACGCGACTTACCAACAACGTTTTCAACTTTTCCGACTTTTAACAAATACTCGCATAAATACCAACACTCTCAAAACAGTTTTAGTAATTACAAGGAAATGTTCAAGATTAAACACAACATAAAGTTAAGGTTAAACATCAAGTGGACGAACATAACTGAACAGTGCAACACAGTGAATATTACGGCAATAACCGAAGACATATCAAGGCACTGCCCAAGGATTACTATTTGATAAATTGTATGGATATTACAATCAACAATTCGAATATTGAAACTTCGTTTTTGAAAACGGTAAGTAGTGATAGCCTAAATAACCAGCATAACATCTAAGTGTATCTAGAGTTACGTAAATAAATTTGATACTATGTGAAATGTTGTTCACTGTCGTGCACGACAGCCGTGCATGGAATGTTACTGATCGTCGTCATGGTGATACGATATCAACCGAAAACAAAACAAATGGTTTTGAACTTTGCTTTGTTTATGAAACTGTCATTAAAGGCAGATAAAATTATATAAATTATATTAATAACATTAAGCTGCGGTTTAAAATGTCTGGCGTTTGGGTTACCCCCATATCCGAACAGATATACTATCAAGCAGGAACTGACTTCCGCTGTAGGATATCCGCTCTCCGCAAACAGTCACCATGAAGAGACCACTCGAAAGTTTCTTTTCCATGATGGCGGCGCCCAACTAACCAGCAAGCAGCAACTTTCTAAAGTGTTCTCTTTTGTTGCTATTGCAAACATTCATAGACCACTCTCTTATTGCACGTCTTGGTGATTCTCAAGATGGCGTCCATATTGGTATTTCCGTTTTTGCACTTACATTAATTCTATATTTACATTTCGTGGGAAATCGTTTCGCAATTCTCGTATGGCAGCTTAGTTTGCACGGTTTGCAAATATGTGCACATTGTTTCTGCATTCTCTATTTGCATTCAAACGGCATTGAAGGCGCGCATTCGCATTCCATTTGTTGAATGAGATCCAATTGATTGTTAAACTATTGAGACGCATGACACACACGTAATTATCACAAAAATCGTTATATTTTCCCGCGTTGGCCGCGGTATCTACAGGCAGATTAACACTTATCGTTTTTATTATATCTCGAATTACTTCCGGATTCAAATTCAATGACTAGTTTAATACTATGGACTCTGCGTGTTCCATTCATGGATTTATGGCAACAGTTTGTATCACGTTTGATTGTGTGTTGTGACTAAGAATATGACTATAAACTCTGCATACGTATGCATAAAGCAATTTATGCATTTTCATTCATGAAACCGTTCGCTCCGTCGGCCTCAGATGTGTATGCGCATGTGTGTATGAGTTGTGTGCAAAGTGCTAAAAAAGCGCTGGAGGACTTTGGACCCGTCGAAGTCGCGTCTCTTGCAAACCGACTTGTTTGAGTCACTCCACTGCCTTGCGGCCTTTCTCTCGCGCAAATGAAGCTGAAGCTTTTCTCGTGATCTTACTTCTACCGCTTACCCATGTTGCAAGTTGCAAGTCTCAAGAGTTGAGATGGCAAACCGGCCGGCGAGGAATGAAGGCATGGGTATGTTCTTGTAGAGTGCTGCTGGTATATAGTTGGTTATGGTTGGTGACTCGGGTCTGCACGGTCGGTCGATTGCCACGTCCCCATGTTTTCCCACATTCTCGCCGGTTGTCTTTTCCATCGCGCATATGTTGTGCGGAAATTGATACGGATATGGTAAACCACTTCTAGTCAATTCCAACGACAACAAAAGAACGCTTATAAAAGCATAATTTTAAAACATTGCATGTTTATCACTCTGTGAAGATCTGATAGTAATGCCACACAAAGAAAAAACAATAACAAGTTTAAAAAATATGAAATTCTTGAATGAATAAATTGCCCTTTACAATAGGAACTTCTTCACTTTACTGTACACTTCTGTTTCCCATCATTTCATGATCACTTACGTACTTATACTTTTCTTCTGTTCTCATAATGCAAACAAATGCCATTGAGGCAGGCGCGGAGCTTACTTCATTGACGCTTCCCACACTCGGCATGGGAATTTCATAGTTTGTAGTAACACACGCAAAGACTTTTAACGCCATGCGACAGCGTAATACGTTTATAATTCGCTGTGAAAACGTTTTACACAATATCACATTGCTTGGGTACATATTTATACAATTTGGACATGAAATTGTCCACAAAGTAAGTGGAAAATGCTCAAATATACGTCAGCTAACAAATAACTCTCAAAAAACAATATGGCGCCTGTTTTCTTTTTTAAATATTATTGTAACCTTGGTGACAATTTCGGGAACAAACTGTATAAGAAGCAGTTTGTGGGCGACGTAAATATAATGTAATAAAAGGCCGTGGGACCGAAAACGATGTAGGTGGTGAACACACAGCGCGCGCGCTGGGGAACGAGAACAAGATGCGAGGAGAGTTGAGAAAAAGCGCAAGAGCGAAAAGCTCGACGCCCGAAGCGCATTCCTTACCATTACCAGCCGGCGATGCTGAGGATGCTGCGCAGCATCGTGCACTTCTTCGGCGAAAATCACAAGGAAAAAACTAAGTTCTGTTCACAAGACAAAAATTACAACGGTTACAACTGTCATTTGCAACGCACCAAACTAAAGTAAACAAACTTTTGTTTTAACAGTTTTTTTGACAACTCATGCGCAGTGTGTGTGCGGATTGCGCAGTGTCATTTTTATCTGTCTACATATCTAATCAGGTTTAATTCGTGTAAATCTACTGATATACTTTGGAGTACTTTAAAGTGTTTGAAATGCGATTATTACGGTGAATAAAAGTTCGTCCCCGTTTCATTTCGTTCTCCATTCGCATACCGAGGCGCGTTCGGCGCACGAGCAGCTGGCAACACTGCGCTAGCGCAGTCCCATGGTGGTCGGCACGTCTGCAACGCGCTCAGTTCTCACGCTCCGCGATCATGTGCTCAAGAATCGCTCGGAAAGGCGGCGAAACCTCACCGAGAAAGTCGTAGAAAATCACCGCAATAAGGTCAGTACCGAGAGCTGTACACAATCGCTCTAACAACGTTCAGCGGGCGGCGGAAATCAGCGCATCAGAACGTTGAATACACGTCAATAATCGCATTCGCCATATGCCAACCAACCAGCCAGTCAGCGAAATATCGATTTTTTTCCACTCTCAGCGATCGCCGACCGTGTATACTTCGTTCGGTTCAAGTGCCTTGTTTACGTGAACATATCAGTGATAAGCGCTATCTTGGATTAATTTACTAGATTAATGGCGCCGCGATAGACAGTAAAAAAATTTTCGTAGTGGTGCACGGTAAAAATAAACTGTAGACAATATACGAATGTAAATTTCCACACAATGATAATACAATACTTGCTGGCTATTGTTTAACATTTAGCATTTACCTACGTGTTTACCTTTTCGATTGTTTCGAAATGTAATTTGGTGAGCGTGCGCGGTGAGGCGGTGCGACGAAACGAGGCCGCCGCGCAGCCGCGTGCTCATTGCCATGCGTGTTTACAAAACTTCGCCGAAAATCGAAGACAAGACACGAAAACTCCGCTTGCGTTAGTCATTACAAATTAGATTCAAATATGGCTGATAGTATATAACGTAAACAATGTTATATGTAATGGTTTTTTTTGGGTTAAACAACAAAAAATCTAGAATGAACAGGCACAGTTGTAGTAAACGGCTCTTTCATGCGCAGCGGAAGTGCCGCCCGGCTGGGTAAACAAACAAAGAGTAATTCATGAATTTCCTGTGTGCCGCTTGTGCGCCGGTTTTTGTTTCGCGGTACGCATTTTAATTTCAGCCGCGGATGCTGCAAGCCAACGAACGCTGGAATGCGGCTCGGAGGCTAACATTTCTCAATCCTCTGCCTGGGAAAACAGCGTGAGTGTTGCGCGAAGAACACTTCAAATGGTTTTTAACTTTTGTACCGCGAAGACATTTAAAACTAATATGAATTTTGATTATGCTAGAATAAAAAGCATAGTTTATCGTTTTTCTTTGTGGAAACTTCAACCAAGTACAACACTTGGTATAGGCGTAAGTTTCCGGCGCTCGGTCATTGATGTGATCTCTGAGGAATGTGGTAGGGCAAGCTCGGAGAGCGGCCGTGGCTGCAAGAGGGGCGCGAGCGGGCCGACGGCCCCGAGACGGCGAGCGACGCGCCGAGTCAAGAATGGAATGTTTGAAATCGTGAATGGCTTCCACCTTCCGCGCCCCGCACTCGCCCGCACTACGTGCGTGCACGCGAACCGAAGAGCGCGACTATGAGTCGCTTCTGAGGCTGACTAAGAGTCGCGTCTACTTCTAGTAGTACTATCGCCATTCTCCACTATAATCCACTATTTGTAAAATATGTGCTTCCGGTTGGTTATGTCTTCTTCTTTACTTGTGGTCTTTGTCGATTGTAGTATATTAATATTTCATTTTGTTTGCAGGTGAACAATTTTGGTATGCTTTCGCCGACTTTGCCCGAAAGTGTAGTTTTGACAAGTTTGGAAAGGTTTTCTAAGCGAGAGGAAGAAAAGTCCGTAGATGCACCATCTCATCGGGCAAAGATGCTCGTGAGCAACAGTAGCAGTATTCCGCATCCACATCAGCTTATTGCGCCTCGACCAGCGCTTGCCGTCTCCCAACCACCTCCTGACAGTGTCACAGCGGTCGACAATGAAAAGAAGCCGATGAAGTCACAGCGAAACCGCCTACTGTCATACATCAATTGGCCGTGCACCTTTGTCACGGCGGATGCCCTCGCCGAGCAGGGCTTCTTCTACACTCAAAAGTCGGATATAGTGAGGTGCGCCTTCTGCGGCCTGGAGCTAGGGAAGTGGGAGGCGGGCGACGTGCCGGCGGCAGACCATCGAACTTGGTCGCCGCATTGTCCACTAATTCGCGGCGTCGAGTGCGGCAACGTCTGTATGTCGGACAGCGAACGCGCCTCTTGTCCAACATCAGCCGCCGACGATCTTAGTTTTGACACGTGCGGCAAGTACGGCATCCACGTGCGTCCCAACTCGGGCCCCGAAAACGGTCGCCCGGTGGACGTGCAGCGATACGCCGTCAAGCACACCTCAGCAGCGCACCCGCAATACGCTCTAGTAGAAGAGCGCCTACGCACATTCAAGGACTGGCCAGTCAGCATCAAGCAGCGTCCTGAGGAACTCGCCCCAGCGGGTTTCTATTACTCTGGCAAGAGTGACCAAACTATTTGCTACTCCTGTGGTGGTGGTTTGAAAGCCTGGGAGCCGTCGGACGATCCCTGGGAGCAGCACGCCAGTTGGTTCCCACAGTGCACTTTTCTGCGTATGAACAAGAGTGCTGATTTTATCGCGCTTCACAACAAAACCGGCGACGAGAAGGGCCGCTTACCAAAACCGAGCACCAGCGCTTCGGGAGTGGAAGCACGTGCCCCTGTATCGTCGTTGAACAGTCCGCAAGCGCCGCCATCACCGGCCGCCGCTGCTGCTGTGACAACCAAAGATCCACCTAGCGGCACACCGCTCGTCAATCTATGCAAAATCTGCTACACTAATGAGATCGGCGTCGTGTTTCTCCCCTGCGGCCACATGGTCGCTTGTACAGAATGCGCTTCCGCTCTTACTAGATGTGCCGTCTGCAGGCTTGATTTGGAAGCAACCGTGCGCGCTTACCTCTCGTAGGACCCTTTTAAAACTGCTAATTACAGATAATAAAGTTAAATTTTTAAGTAAAACTATTTCACGGTTTTTTCTAGTCAAACTTCATCAACATTTAAATTATTTAATCACATCATCGCGCGCGAGCATCAAGTTTGATCTAAAAAGAAGAGTGTTGTATAAATGTAAAACAGACGTGAACATTGAAAATTGTATTAATCCAATGACGCTGAATGTACATAAGATTTATTGACTTGAATTGATCTCCAAGGTAGATTAATGTGACTTTATTCATTCAAAGAAGGAAATATTTTTTTAAACGCTTGACACGCTCCAGCAGAAAATTTGTTGGTTTGTTTTTCGAAGTGTATCATTTTGGTTTTAACGACAAGTACAAGTTAGTTGATAGCATTTTAGGATTTTCTTTTATTTTACGCTTATTAATCTAATCTAGGGAGTAATATTTAACTTTTTCGTTTTTAAGGTATGTTAGTATGTTTTATGTAAAAAAGTTAGGTTTTGTGCCGAATTGTGTTTGTTGCCTTGCTTCTTCATTACTAGTTACACGGTCGACTCTACTGGCACTTTGTAATATTGCAAACAAATTTGAATATTTTACCACCAAGCTGAATCATTTACATTGTAGAAATAAATATCGAAAATTAAGCCGCTTTGTTTGTCAAATTGTCATCATTTATTGTGTTCACTTTGATAATACTCTCTCCCATTCGCCTTCCAGCCTGTGTCTCCTGTTGATTTAGTAAATATAATATGTACAAAAACGTTTATGATGCGGTGGCGCTCGTCGGTCCGCTACTTTTTCGCATCCTGCTCCTTCTTCAGTTGTTTCTCTCGCATCATTTGCGCATCACGCTCCTTGCGCTGCGTGAGGGTGAGCCCATCGGAATTACCCTTGGTTTTGTTCATCTCCTGCTGTTTCTTCAGGTTTTTCGCGCGTGCAAGATCACGTTGATTGCCACGCGTCATTTTCACCAAGCGCAAATCGCTGTAAAAGTGAAAAGAATACTTCGAACAAACTTCGATTAAGAGAAATAAGTGCGAACTAGCGCTATAAACAAATGAACTTCATATTAATTAGACAATATTTTAAAACAAAGAAAGTTTGTTGTCCGGTAGTCCGCGAGTTTGTCACCAGGCGGCGCCGCCGAAAGTACCAAAATAACAACGAAATGAAACCGAAACCACGATCTGTTCGCTAATTTATCAATGCAGGGTGAATCAAATAACAAAATACTAATCTAAGTAAATATAACAATGTACATTTTGAAATCATATGACATTATGGTGTCGTTGTCCCGAACTAAACACCACAACAAAATGAAAACATGGCGTTTTGACATCGACGTTCCTAACAACTCGCTTTAATTTCACGGGATAATTAAGCGTATGTTGCAGATATAAAAACGCCTACTTTGTAAACAACGCATGCAGAATGGACGAACAACAATTTCTGCTACCCGGGCATAGCCGCGGCACCTACGGAAAGCCCGACGACGATTCTGACGAGGAATGGACTGGTGACTCGTCCTCAAACTCGGCGAGCTCGTTCTACACCGACAGTGACAGGTACAACCGCCAAATGCACAAATCGTGTGGCAACAAAGCCGCTTCTTCTAATAACTAACACACTTACGTATTGTTTTAAGGTGCAAACGCTCTGGATTTCGAATTTTCCCAGCTCTCTGATAACCCCCTTCGTAGCGTTGTAGAAATGTGAGCCTTGCGGGCAGAACACGCCCTACTTTACCGACTTCTTACTTCTGACGTTTAGCAGCTTCAACCTTGTCATTAACAACACATAGCGGCAAATTTAAAATTGTTGGACTAATCATTTATTAATTTCAAGTAGTTCGGACCCCGAATGGGAGACATACATCGAGGAAAACGGGCAGCTGTTGTTCGTTGACTGTCACCCATTTGTGACGACACAAACAAATACAGAAAACGAAACGAAACCGAGTAACACATTCGTGAAGAATCAAATGCGCAAAAGCACTAGATCTAAATTTCTGCGATTGATTCGAAGACGCGATAGCAAACGTCGAAGCAAACGCCAACAGAAGAACGACCAGAAAGAAGAGACGAAAGTAAAGTTTCAGGATTACAATGAAGGCGAGGTAAAAATTGTCGTTTTACACCTGAATCACGAGTTGACCATTTCACGTCGGTCCAAACTTGTTGAACATTTACTTGGCATAAACGTGAGTACATTTTCTGATGGATCACGAATTATGATCGCCGGTATTACACCAAATGGTCCTGCAAAATGCGACAAGAACATAAAAATTGGCGATTGGTTGAAATCCATCAACGACGTAAACGTTAACGCAAATAATCTCAATGCGGTTCTCGAACAATTCGAGCATCAAATGGAAGTTAAACTGGAATTACAACGAGTTACCGGCGTAGAAGTCACGAAGCAACCACCTGGATCAGAAATAAGCAATCAATCGACGTTTGTCAAACAATTGACGACAATTTCTAACAACGAAAACCTTCAACTGTTATTAATTGATCAACCAGTTGGTGTTTTATATTTGGACACTGATGATCTTTCCGAATCGGGACCTGAATTCCAAGGAGTGTTGTACTGCTATCCGAATCCAATCGAAAAGAATCGCTTATGTTCGAATCGTGGCGTGTGTATTACACTTAATCATTTAATAAATGATGTCACATCACATCAACCTAGGGTGACAACAGTCTTGCTCAATTCCAGATTGGCACATATTGTTTATACAAACGTGGGTGTAGGCGCAAAACTATTGTTATTGATGCTACCAGATAATCGTTTGAGTAGAGACGAAGTTGTTAACTTGAATGATGAAGTTCTGAGGAGTTTGAAGTTTATCTACGGGGATTTAGAAAGGTGTTTCGTTGGGGAGCAAGGAAAACAATCGCATCGAGAAGTGGATCACTTTTTCTCGAGATTTTTTGCGCGTATTTTAACAAGTGGACTATGGAACAAAGCAGAACAAAGTGTTTTGTTGAGTAGTCTGCCGATGAAAGCTGTGTTGGAGGCGCCGTATCAATTCGAAGGATTGCAACAAGCTGCGCACTTCATAAACTTACCTAACGAGGCTAAAATGCAGATTGATGATGCGTTAAGTGAGCTTGAAGCTTGTGATTATCGTGAATGGGTATTTATTTTACAAGTATATATTTGTTTTTATAATATTATCTTAATTATTTTAGAATGATGACCCGTTAGATTGTCAAAGACTATTTACCATCTTGGGCAGCGCACTGTATCATTCCGGATACTTATTAGCAAGTCATGGTATTCATGAGGATTTAATTGACATTCATGTGTATTGTCGACAGCAAGGATTGTTTCATTTATCGCAAACGGAACCTGTGCGGTCTATGGTACTTTGGAGGGAAGTACATCCTTATTCTTGTAATCGGGAGAATACAAAGTTTATTATTCCAAGTGGCGCAAGGCATTACTTGCTTGTAATCGGCGGTGGCAAGGTAATATATGCAACCAGTCATACTATTCGCAGTGAATTAAGTTTTAAAGTTTGCAGAACATTTAGAAATAAACTTATATATAATTAATTAGACAATGATACATACAGAATTTTATACCAAGATATAAAAAATTAAATTATCTTCATATTGTAACTTCTTATGGTTATCTCTGCGGGGTTTTTGCTTCCAATTTAAACAATTAAACACAACACCCATTTTGATTCACTTTATCTAACTGACTTTGCGAATAGGACAACCACTCAAACATTAGAATGAAAATGCCAGTAACAATTTTTATGGATTTTCAGGACCTATTAGCAGTGATAATGGAAGCGGGTGGATGCACTGAACCTCCAGAGGACAATCTACCCCTGACGCTTTCTATGTGGAGGAAGCACAAGCTACTTTAGCGCACCTTCAAGAATTAGGCATATCCGAGCTTGCCGAACGCTGGATTAAAACTAATCCCGGCTCGCAAGTGACAATTCCACAATTGCCGATTGTGAAGCGAAAGAGCGAACTGTTTCTAGGGCCTCTGGTTAATTTTAACCCGCTTCCTAGCGGCAAAGATTCATCGAATAACAATACCACTTTAAGTAAAAAATCTGATTTAACTTCAATTTTAAAACGACGTAGTAATGACCAACTGCAGAACATGGTTGCACAATCCCAGTCTCAATCACAATCTACAACATCGATTTTTGATGATATAGATGTTCAGTCGGAAAGTTCGGTTGGGAATAACAGCGAACGAAGCGAAGTATCGGACGAGCCTATCCTTGGCAGAAGAGCGCAAAGGGAAAGATACAAATATTCAGATGATGAAGAGTCAGATATTGATGATTACAGAGTAATATTAAAAATCTAAAACAAACATTTTTGTATAACTAAACGTAATTCTAGGATGGTAGTCAAATAAGTCAGAGTAGTTATGATGTTTCCGAGCTGCGTAACACTCTGTTAAATCAAACCGGCGATGCTCAACCCTTTAATTTAACCACAGGAAAGGATCTGATGCTGTTTCACTATGTGCAACTGGACTATACAGAAGGAATTCTGCTTAGTCCGCCAGATTGCCACTTGGAATCGAAAACTTTAGACTTAATTTTGAACAATTTTAGGAAAACAGTGCAAAGAATGCATAATTTATTCCTAAATACTTTGAGATTTAAGGTACCACAACATGATTTACTATTGAAATAAATATTCAATAAGATTCTTTAATTTCTAGAATATGAATTCTGAAGAAATGTCAAAATCGCTTATCAACAAGAGTTTGGTGGCGATCAAGGAACATGGCATGTTGTTCGAAGTGCCTTATCAAGATGAGACTGTAGTGAAGAAGACAATTCCGAAGATTACTTACTGGGTCGTTGGTCGGCTGTTTTTCATGCCGCATCCGAGAGAACTCTATGTTTGTTATCAAGACAATGTGCCGCAAAACATGATTGATATTGCATTTAAATTGGGCATATCTACAGCTGTTTAATTTGTGATGGTAGAGTGAAGTATTATCAGCACATTCCAATAATTATTACAATAAATGACAAGATATCCATGCAATTTAGATTAAAAGTGCAACCATGTACATTTTTTAAATTGTTTCCAAAACTAGTTAGAAATCAACAAGGCAACACTATTTACACACACAATCCAAAATAAAAGAAGAAAAATCCTTAATTAATAAATTCAAATGCATAACCAGATGGTGCAAAATGTTGCAATATTGCGTAATGAACCCTGGATGACTAACCTTTTGTTGAATGTTGAATGGACCTCCAATTACTGCCTTCTTGCAAAAATTGTTGATAATGAGTGTTGGTTAGTCACAGCCGACACAAAAATTAAACAAGCAAACAACGCGATTGTAAATGATATGATGTTGTTAAGTGTTATCGATTACATATTGCACTGATTTCACGGATATTACTTAAGCAATGTCGTCTAACTGGTCTGAGGTGCTGAAGATGACTAATGAATCAAACTGCACCGACTGCAGCCTATCGCATGCTCTGTTAACTAAACGGACCAATCAAATATCAATTTCGTAAATGACAAAAAATATTTGTTTTAGTCAAAATATGAATTTAAGTCAATAATTAACCGAAACGGAGGACATAACTTAAAAAATATATAAATTATTTAATTTGTAAATTATATTATTGACTCTTTGTTTTAAAGTATGTTTTGTTAAAGAAACAAGAGAAATATTTGAATATTATCAGTCCGAAGTGAAAGTCATAACTGCATGTTCAAACTCAATCGAAGTTTTTAGGTTATTCTTTTGACAGATGTAAACAACTTAGCAAGCATCTTTAGTTATTGTGCTTTTAAATGAAATGGGTACGTTTTACTGAATAAATCTTTGCAAAATAATATTATTTAATTTTGTTATGTAAATATAGATTTCCAAAAGTCAGGAGGATCATCATCTTCAAAAAATAAATCAAGAAATAAGAGACCTCGAAGAGACTCTGATGAAGACTCAAGTGATCTCATTGTAGATATAGAAATGTCTCCCAGCAGTTCCAAATCACGCACCCCACAATCACAATCCCTGAACACATCAGTAACATCTACAAATAAAAAACGCAAAAAACGTGATAGCGCATCTAGTGATGAAGAACGATGGTTGACTGCAATAGAATCAGGCAAATTAGAAGATGTGGATGATGAGTTAAAGAAGATCAAACCAAAAGACCCCTCTCTAATGACAGCAAGACAGAGGGCAATGTATGATAGGTCTACAGATAATATAACTACACCTAATCAAGGCTTAATTTCATTGCCAACTGGTTATAAAGAGAAAGTAATGACACCTGAAGCTATTCAGAAGGCTCAGATTAAGTCACAGAAAAGAAAACAAGTTGCTGATGAGAAGAGAGAGAAAGATAAGAAGAAAACTCTGGAGAGACTGTTGAAAAAGCAGGAGTCTAAGGCTTTAAAGACTGCAAAAGCAAAAAATGCTAGGGCGAGTGTGCCTGTTATTCTCTACAAACAGAACAATGAAAGCACAATTGTATCTTATCCCGTTAATATTGACTATCCTTTAAAAGCAGAAAAGGTTAAATACGTCAAACCAGAAGTTTGCAGTATGAATTGTGGTAATTTGAGGAAATATGCATGTTCTAAGACTGGTGCTGCTCTGTGCAGTTTAGAATGTTATAAGAAAAATATTTCATCTAGAATATTATAATCCATGATCTTATTAAACAAAACTGTTATTTTAACATTTCTTGTGCGCGACCCAAACCGAACTGAGGATCAATCAAGAGAAAAGAGAGGTATTTGTCGAGCTTTAACCGGATGGTTACAAGCTGTCCTTTTACTCCTGTGGCCAACCGGCAGAAATGGGAGAGGAGTTTATGCAGTAGGTTTGGTTTACATGGTTGACCACACGAGGATTTGCTGTGCATGTACCTGTGGAAGCCAGTGATTAGGGAGGGGGAAGTTTTTACCTTTGTGTAATTAATGTGTTACTTCATGACAATTTTTATTTTACAATATCAAATATATGGGCACAAACGAAGTGAGAAAACGGAACATAATTAATAAAAATAATGAAGAATTTCCAGAAGAATATCCGTAAAAAATGAATTAGTTGATAGTGTAGATTTCGATGATAGCTATCGCGGTTAATATAAAAAAATGAATAAGTACGTGTAAATCTGTAGTGACGTAAATGAAGTCAAGGATTTTTCTTACAAGTGCTTTGTGCGTAGTAGTTTATCCGCACGTATTAGCGAAAAACTACTACATTAATGAAATATTTCATTGCAATTGGCTACTGTTTAATCACAGGCGAAGCAAAATTATTTAGATGCTGTCTTAGAAAATAACTGTAAGCACCGTATTTTTGTACCTATAGAACGACAAACGTTAAATTTGAAAATTGATTTTTGGCTCCAGAAAGATCATTTCGTATGACGTATCACGGTTGAACCATTCGGGTACACCAACTTGTTGTGGGGTTAACTCAATGGTAATAATTCACCAGGCAGCTGAAGTTGAACAGATTGTTTAAGAACGCTGTGAAAATTTATGGGTCGTCTGCTAAACATTAATTGAGCCGTTTATTTTGAAAGTGACCTAACTCCGTTTTTCAATTTTTTACCGGTTACCATGGTTACATGTACAACTTCATGTTATTTATCAGTGACACACGTCAGATTGCTTATATTCAGAGAAAATACGGTACATTTTTTACACATAGGTTTTCCGAATTAATAGAATAACTGACCCATGTGGTTTGAAAGTGGCCTAACTCCATTTATAGTTACATCAAGGTATTTACTATTGATAATATCGGAAAGCAGCGATGAAGGTAATTTCAATTAATTAGTATTTACAAGTCCACCTCATTTTTGGGACAATTGCGTTAGTTAATTAACCTGTACGTTTAATTAATATAAAACTTAAAATTTAATATTAAATTATAGAAATTATTGCACCCATGAGGAAGAACCGAAGAAGACGACTTAGTTCAGATAGTGAAAAAGAAATAGTAATTAATAATTAAAAAAAGCGAATAAGAAAAAGAGTTATAAAACAATATTCCTCATCAGAGGATGAAGATTCAAATAACAATGGAGAAAAGATTGATGCACCATATATCCAAAAAGTGCGAAAGATAAAACGGAATTCAGGAAAAAGATATTGCAGTTAAACCGGAAGTATTGTTCATGAAAAAAATTTCGAAACAAAGATTGTGGTTGTCGGAATGCGTGCACAAAAAATTATAATGAAGAAGAAAGAAAGAATATTTTTGAGAAGTTTAGGGGTTTGGCAGATTTTAACAAACAAAATGTATTACTTCACGAAGCTGTCTGTGAAACGAAGACGTTTTTTTTCTTCAATTTGAAACATCTTAAATTATGTTGAATGGACTTGGGCATCTTCAAATTTTATAATGAATCTGGCTGTTAATTTTGAAAGTGGCCCAACTCCATTCTTGATAAGGAAACGCACGTTATTTACTTAATAATTGCCACTATTTTAACTGGAACTTTAAATTTAACATCCTTAGATATGCTTAAGCAGTATGACTCCTTTGTATCTTATACGTATATTTTTAAATTCATTGAAACGCAAAACTTTCAATATCTCGATTTGAAGATAAATGGAGTTAGGCCACTTTCAAAATAAGCGGCTCAATTAGTTGCTCATATCTTGTATTTTGAAGAAATATAATTTTGTCCTAAATTTTGAATTGATGTACTTACCTCCGAAATATTTATTATCTAATTAATTAGGTTGTGCTGAGTGATAAATTAAAAAAAATACATATCAAAATATTTTGTAAGGTAGCACACGCTCTGCGTAAACTTTGACAGGAATAACAATAAAAGGGCCGTGATAGTTGGGGCCGAGGCTTAAGCAACATATGGAACATGTGGTAGAGCAACATATGGAAGAGTTTGCATGGGCAGAGGAATTCCACATTACATATCAAAACAGTCCTTGTTCTAGATTTAGCATCTTGTGAGCGCCTAAAAAATTTTTAGGCAAGATTTCATCGTGTGGGAGAACCGAATATGCATGTATATGGTTATTTGAACAACTCCTATTTGCTACCCGTTCTAAACTAATTACCACACGAGAGAAGAGAAGTGAACCTAAAGAGGTTGACTGGACGCCTCCGGCACAACTGAACACTGTAGTCTTATCAGTTGTCTTTTTATAGTTTTTATATATTCGAGCTATCTGTAAAAAGTAGTGGGTGCGGGAACCTGTTAAAGCTTGTAAAAAATTCATCTCTTTGGACATAATTTATATTGACAATAATTCATTATTCCAGGCATAGTTCTTCCTTTCAATTTTATACATCATTCTTATGTATTTGTAACTAGTAAGCAACTTAGTTGTTACTCCAATTTAATATATTTACAACCTGAAAGTTTAAGTAAATGGTTCTCCATTATTCCATGAATTGGTTGGAATGATACAAGTCACATTTATTGACTCACACTTAGGGTAGATTACTATCTGCAACATTATCTATGAATGCATTTCATGAAAATATCTTTTATCACAATTGTTTGGTATTTTTCCTTAAACATACAGTGAAATAGTGTAATTTGTTATACCTAGTCGAAGTGATCATGAGTGTTTCTTACGAAAATCTTTATCAAATCAAAATATAATTCATCATGATGTACTCGAAGCGAGTGATTTTTATAATTTTGCACAAATGACCTCTCTCCGTTTAGATAATAGTCACCATTATTTACTATAAAAGCACAAAAATAAAATTATTGAGACACGTATAGAATTGTTTCAGTTAAAATGAAGTCGATGATTTTTGTCGCTTGTGCTTTGTGTGTGGTCGTTTTTCCACATGCATTAGCTAAAGAGTATTTCATGGCAACACAAAGTGTAGGTAGACCAATAAGTATAAAGTAACTAAACGCTAATTACAAACATAGGTATCTGATTTAAATAATTTTATATTATCATTTTTATGGATTGTATAGGTGAATTGGTTTGGTGCAGTGGAATATTGCACCTCAATAGGGATGCAATTGGCGACTGTTTCATCGCAATATGAGCAAAATATTTTAGAAGCTGTGTTAGCTAATAGCGGTAAGCCCCAAATTTTACTTTGCCATCAGCAGTTTTTTGTTTCTAAGGAACAATTTTTTTGTCTCATAAATTAGGAGGAGCGCCAGGTCATGTTTGGATTGGCGCGTCTGATTTGTCAAATAAGGGTGAATTCGTATGGTTACCTACTGCTACAGCAGTCAACTATACCAATTGGATCGGAGGTGCGCCAAATAGTGGGAATACTGCCACATCACGTTGCGTAGATCAATACAACCAGGACGGTATTATTGGATGGTGGGTTCGAGATTGTTTTGATATCTTATGGGTGGCCTGTGAATTTGTGTAGTTGCGTTCATATTAAACTTTAATTAGTTGTTAATTACTGTTTGCTGGATTAAAAAAATAAATTTTTGCATTGAAATTTCATGTTTTAAGACTTCGCTGTCTCTTCCTTGTGTTCGTCAATTATTCAGACAACTCCAACGACGTTGTGCTGCATCTATGATAGTGCAAGATATTGTAAGAGTTATAGAATTTACAACTCTATTATCTTCACTTCACCACCAGACTACGTACTCTGGAGTTTTTTGTGACGAACCGTCGCCCTTACAGACGGCTACGTACAATTGTTTAAAATTATAAAATTCTGAAAAACATTTGCCTTAAGTACGTTATCCGGAGAATTAAACAAATTTGATAATCATTTGTCTATCAAACGCACCTAATCACTTAAAAGCAAGTAAATGATTTTATGTTTTTGAAGTGTTTTATTTTAATTAAAAAGAAGGTTACATAATTTCCTTACTAACTTATGCAGCCAATCGTAGCCAAGAAAACATAATCACGTAAGCTAATTTTTTTAAAGCTTAGGTACCCTACAAAACCGCAACGTGGAACTATAGTGGAAGTGGAAAAAATAGCGTAAGCCTCTCGTGGCTAAATGTTGTTAAAGACTCGTTTGATTCACCGCTCGCTACGCTCGCTCCTAATCAATTCTCGTCTGTAATGCCCTCGTTTAGACACTTGTTACTTAATATACTATTAATAATAATTATTGTCAAAAAATGACTTTCAATCTGTCAATTAATTTTTCGCATTTTTTTTTCCTTTGGAAAAAAAGAAACTGGTACTGGAACATTACCTAGTAGACCGAATTGTGAATCTAAACTATTCTCGAACCCATCTGAACACACACAAAAAAATTCATCAAAATTGGTCCAGCCGTTTAAAAGAAATTTAATCACATACACACGAACAGTAGATTTATACAGATACTAGCGACCTGCCCCGGCTTCGCACGGAAGTAAAAAACCGCATCAAAATCCGTTGCGTAGTTTCAATGATTTAAGCATACAAAGAGACAGACAGAGAAAGCGACTTTCCTTCTCCAAACAAAAACATCAACCGGTCAACTTCAACCCACACGTACACACATACACACGTCTATGCTTGGAGGGGGAAGCTACGAAGCATCGCACAAAGAGCAGACGGGAATAATCGAAAACTTTGTATTTACGATATCACATTAGAAACCTCAAAAATAACAGTACTTCTCCACTATTTAATGGATGTTATTATACATACAAACCTTCCTCTTGAATTACTCTATCTATTAAAAAAAACGGCATCAAAATCCGTTGCGTAGTTTCAAATATTTAAGCTCACAAAGGGACCG